AATGTTGCGACAACCAGCCTCTTTTGTTGCAACAAAGCTGTAATGTTGCAAAATACCTACAACTTTACATATTACATAAAAACTATACATAGTGTTGCAACATGATCATCATTATTATAAAACATTTGATACAGTCAGGCATCTTTAAAAAGTGACAAACATATCTGGTAATGTCTATTACCAAGATGGTTATCACATGTAAAATATTCCCAAGTTTATTTCTGTTATCAGTAGCAAAATTCATCTTTAGTTATTATAAAAAAATATGAAAAGCAATGGTTTTAAATTGTATAAAACAACTGGAAAAGAAATTGATATAACTAGAAAGTAAAGATCTACTTTTTTATTTGAATGTAACATGTAAATTTTGACTTTCTAAGTTGCATTTGTTGCAACACCGTAATATTAATACCATAATGTAAAAATTACAGGTGCCAACTTTAACACCAATTACACTATCTCTCTTCCTCTAGTAATCCTTGTATAATAGATTAATATTAAGTAAGGAAACTCAAAATAAAAAAATCAGCTGAGAGGTTGATTTTCCTAGTCCAAATCCCATGCAGGGCTGGAAATAGTACATTAAAAATTCGGATTTTCCTTTAAAAAATTTTAACTTCTGAAAAAAAAGAGTTGCCGGATATTTTTCCTTTTTATTTTTATTTTTATTTTTTCCATCCACATAAATACATATATGTGTGTCATTGCTTCAATATCTTAGAAAAGAACCATAATTTGTATCATTTGAATTTCCAGAAGAAAAGTATTGACTTTAAATTAAATCTTATTTCACTGCTATAAAATTATTAAATTTAAAAATATATACACTTTAAATATGAATTTGTTTTCCCTTATTCAAAAAAAGAAATTTTAAATAAATAGTATAAAATAAGAAGAATTAGATAATTTGACTACTGAAATCTGGGATGAAGCATTTATAGATGAATCAAATATTGACGAATCAGATATAGAAGGTTCAGATGATTTGATAATTCAAGACTCAGGTGATGATGATACTTCAAAAAAATCAAATAAAAAGTGCATTTTAAAAATCAGGAAGAAGTTTTCAGCATGAATGGCTAAACATATATAAATGGTTAAAATATGATGCAGCAATCAGAGAATGTTTTGCACATTTTGTAAAGCACATGGGAAAAAAAAATCAATTTGCAGGAAAAGGTGACAAATAAATATACGATAATTAATTTTGCATTTGAAATTATTAATTTACTAATATTATAATGTTGTTATTTGGGATAAAATAATGTTTCAAAATCTATTGTTCTAGCAACTCATGCACTTTCAAACCAATATAATGGTTCTTTACTTATAGAAAGGCAAGAATAATCATGCAAGATTCTTCTAAAAAAGCCACTAATAATGGTAACAAACATATGATTAATATTTGCTGAATGGCAAAAGAAAATATTCCAATTTCCAAACTTCCAAGTCTTATTTATATCTTAAAACTTATAGAAATAGTGCACTCAATTCCATTTTTTAGTGTAGAGATTTTAACAAATGGAATATTATCAAAACAGATTTATGTAATGCAATGGAAAATTACACATTCACTTATTAATGATGGTTGGTTTAGAAGGTACTGATTTATTTGGTTATGATTTTAATGATGCTCTTAGTAAATTTCTTCAAAGTAAAAACAGAAGAATAAAATAAAATAAAATTTAAAAAAATTTTCCTTTTCCGTTTTTTTTCATACCCTATTTCCAGCCCTGGTGCTATGTTACTAATTGTTGTTACATCATTTTTCAACGTTTCATTATCGAAATTTTGTACAACCATAAATTACAAAGTTAGGGAGTCTTTCGTTGTGGTATGCCTATATAACATATGAAGTATTAGCATAGTGGACATTTGATTTCATTGGCTAATTTTTGTGATGATCTCCCTTCGAAATATCACACAAAAATCGAATCT